GGAAGTGCAATCTCTTGCATAAATTACATTTGTACACGGGCGGTGTCTGCGGGGACTTGTAAACATTGGTGACAGTGTCGTTCCGGCCGCCGAGGGGCGGACCGGGCGTGGTCCTGCGTCTCATCCGGGAGCTCCAGTCGGCATGCTAAGGCCATGTGTGAGGGCCCCCCCCCCCGAGGGCGGAGAGGGCCAGAGAAGAGAGACAAAGGGACAGACAGGAGCGGGGCGGGGCTGCTTGGAATCTGGGTCCCCCTGGCCCAGGGGAACCCCTGGTTTTGCTGGATGCTGCGTGGCTCCCCCAGAGGTCCACGCCCCAGGCCCCCACCAACGTGGGGAGGTAGCTCCCTGCCTCCGGACAGACGGACGGACGTGGCCAAGGAGCCCCCGTTTCAGGGAGAAATTCCTGATGTCTGCCTCCTCCCTCCCCACCCCCCGAGAGCACTTGGGAGCACACAGTACGGCCATCGCGGCCAGCCAGGTCCCCCAACCACACGGTCCCACAAACACCCGCAATGTGGAAACAGGAGAGGGCGAGAGCGCCCAGGGCCCAAAGGTGCCCTTCAGCGCACACCCGCACCCCAATGGATACGTGAGGACCCCCCACTCATACCCCGCCCCTCAGAGGGGCCCCTGTACCTGCCCGTCAACCTCGGGTCACAGGGGCGGCCTCGGCCCCGGCGGGGCATCCGGTGCCCTGGTTAGACCGGCTCCCCACATCCACTGCTCCCCCCCCCCCGTGGGCCGTGGCCTCTGCCAGCCCTTCCGGCCAATGGCCTCCGTGCTCCCGGCCGCATGGACGGATCCCTCAGCCCGGGCAGGAGGGGCCAGCCAGCTGCCGGGAATCGGTGCTGGCGGGTTCTGCTCCGCGGGTGCCCGCAGCTCGCGTGGCCCTCACTGTTCTCCCACGACTTCTAACGGCGGGCGGCCCGGGTCCCAGCGCCGGGCGCCAGGCCGTTTCTGGGCCCCGAGCCTCTCGGAAGCACGTGGTCCGCTGGGCTGTGGCCTGGGGAGCGGTGGGCGTGGCTCGCAGGGAGGCACGCACCCCCAGGCACCTGCCCCTGGGGACCTGCCGTCCGCACCCGGGAGCCGCGAGGGGTCAGAGGAGCCGAGAGACGCGATTCTTTGGTGTGAGAGGTCTGTCCCTGAAAAACGCGGTGCCCGTGGGGGAGGACCGGGCCCCGGCGCAGCCTCCAAACCACCACCATCGGGTCCATCCGACGCCTCAGACAGGATGACCCCGGTCCCCGCCCTCCCCAGCCCCGGACCGCCGGCCTCTCGCCGCCCGGAGCTCGCCCCGTGGCAGAGGGAGAAGGGGTGCTGGCCACGGCCTGAGACCGGGAAGGGCGGGCAGCCACGGCGGGGCACCGGGCCCTGAGGTCCCCCTCGAAGTGAGGAGCTGGGAGCGCGAGGCTGAGGCTCTGTCTCTAGGGCCAAGGCGTGTCGCTAGCTCCGGGGACTCCCGCCCCCCCGCGCGCTGAGGCCTGCAGGGAGCTGCCCGGGGCCAGCAGACAGGCCAGAGCGAGACCCCCACGTGGAGCCCTCCCTCCGGACTCCCCCGGGCTGTGGCCAGGTCAGCACTGGGCAGGGAACCTGCCACTCACTACGCACACGTTTACCACCTGGCAGGAAGTGCCGGGCTGCAGACGGCCCATCGCCCTGCTGTGCGGGGCACACTCAGCCCTGCCAGCCTCGTGCCTCTGGCCGGTCCACGGGGGCCGATGGGCTCTGGTCATGGTATGTGCATGGACTCCAGGGGTGGGCGCGGCGCCCCCTGGAGCTACGATGACCCTGATGACAGCAATGAGCCCCGGAGGCAAGGCGCTGGGGGCCTGCCTGTCGGTATTCCTGCAGCGGCTGCCCCGAGCCCGGCCAGCAGGCTGCTTCCCAGGCCATTTGTCCGAGAGACAGGACGACAGAGCCCAAAGGAGGGCCTCGCCGAGTCCCTCGGGGGCCAGGGGACCAGAGAGGCTTTGGCTCCGCCCACCTCCAGGCTGAAAAGCAGCAGGGGCCTTCCAGGTGGAACGGCGCAGGCAAAGGCTCAGAGGCGGGACTCTGCATGGATGTAGTTCCTTGACCAAAATGGAGGGTTACGAGGCCATGCAGGGGACTGCGTTATGCTCAGACTGAGTGGGTCACGCAGAACCTGCCAGAGAAAGTATCTCCGAGACGGCAGCCACAGCAGCTAGCCCTGGTGCCCCGGTGCTGGTTCTGATCACTAATGCCAGCAAGGGCTTGAACCCCCACCCTCACTAGGAGCTGCTGGTGCCCACGTGCCCCGGCCGGCTTCCAGGGACCCTTACAAAACCCCTGCCGGGCAGCACCTGCTCCCCCCCACCTCCCGCTGTCTAGTCCAGGAAAGCCTGCCCCTGCTGTCCATGTTCATAGCCAACCAGACCCTCCCCCAGTTGTTCAGGGACAGGCTGCTGATACCGAGCACAGAAGGGAGATCAAGTGGGAACTCGGAAGCAGCAGTGAGCTCTGGCTAGCAGACCCTGCGTCCAGGGCCCGGTGGGCACCCCGCTGCAGCATCTCTCACAGGGGAGGGCATTGCTCACAACACACTGACCCACACAGAGAGCCCGTCACGGGGTCTCCGGGGAAATGGCGCTTCAAACGCATCGATCACAGCGCTTGTGTTCTCAGTCAAAACTCCTCCACCAGAGGGAGCCCACGTGGCTTTTGGGCCATCCCACAAGAGGGTGCCAAGCGTCCCAGGGTCCCAGGAGGGCGGGGCAGGCAGCACAATGTCCCAGGCCAACTCAGACGGTCTCAGACCCACCTACAGCTCTACGGGACATTTTGGGGGACAGTCGGGGTGCTGCGCCGATGGGCTGTTTTAGAAAAATGCTGCTGTGCGGAATTTCAGTTATCTGAGACCAGTGTTCTCTTTGGTGGCACCGCCTTCAGGCGGTACACATCCCTCCATCCTCCAAATTCCTGAGTGTGTGGGGGCGGGGCGGCGGGAGAGAGGCAGCCAGGGGCAGGGGCGGAGGCTGGGGAGTCCCCCTGACCACTCCTCCACTCCTCGGTAAATCTGGAATTTGCGAAATAGAAAGTTTGTGGGGAGGACATTATGGTCATTGATTCTTTTTCTTTCTTTTCCTTTTTCTTTTCTGTTGCTTCTACCAAGAGGAGGCCGAGAAAGAGCCACAGGAAACGGATTTATGCCCAGGGCTTTGGATCTCGGGACGAGGCCCTGTTGGTGGTGACGCTGTCTGTTCCCTCTCCCTCTCCCCGCTCCCAGCACCTGCCAAGTCAGATGACTCCGGGTTTTCTGTTCTGGAGGCTCAGCCTTCTGATGTGGCAGCTGACCAGACACCCAGGCCAAGTCCTGCCAGGCCCATGCTCCCCCCACCCCGGGGGGGCCATGTGACCCAGGCTCTCAGGAGCCTCCGGCACCGCTCAGCGCTCTGCAAACAGTGCGGACGCCTCGCCCTGCGGCCCCGGAGCCAGCGGCGCCCCCGGGAGGGGAGACGCAGAAAGAGCCACTGTTTCTCCTTTGCACGGACATTAGGGCCCTGACGTTTAAAAAAAATAACATTAGACACGAGCGAGTCCAGACAGACCTTGGAGACTGAGATCTGTCCCGAGTGGCCCAGAGCGTCTGAGGTCTTTCCAGCCCTGTGCCCTGCACAAGGGGCCGTGTTCAACACGGGTATATCATGTGTGTAGCATGATGTAACATGGATGTAGCATGTGTGTAACATAGGTGTAGCATGGAGTGCGTGCCTGTTCAGAGGGGCCTTGAGTGATGGGTTTCAGTCCTGTGGGCCAAAGGCTTGGGACTGGCAGCATTTGGTGATGTCTCCTTTAAGCAACCAGGTAGGTTTCCTCTTCCCAGGATCCCCAGGGCTCCCGGCACCTTCCGAGAATCCCGCCAAAGCCCGTTCCCACCCGGAGCGGGAGCGGGAGCCTCCCGTAGGGAGGAGGAGCAGGGGCGTGGATGGCTGTCACTGCAGGGCCCTCCAGGGGGCGCCTGAGCCTAGCTGTCCCTCTGAGGTCGCCCCCAGTGGAGGGGAGGGATTTCCCCTCCGGGAAAAGTTGTCCCCTGTGATGGATGCTCCCAGCAGGCCAAGCGGCGGCTCCCTGCCTCCCCCTCCTGAGATCCACACGGAGGCCGTGTTCACGGGTCAGATGCAGCCAGAGACTCTCCTTCCCGGGACCCGCATGCCTGCAGGGCGGGGTTTTCCACGAGGGACGCCCTGTCTTCATTCTGAATCAGGAGAAGAACCCACATCGACCTCCTGGTACCCGCTCACATCCACGCACCCCAAACCGGAACCCTGCCTCGCTCGGCGGCTGCTGCACGGACGGCCACACACACACACACACACACCCGCATCACAGAGACAGGAGGGAGCTGACGGGCCACCTTCCCCTGCCCGGTCCCCGGGCACTGCCAGCCGCACGGTGCAGTTAGAACTGAGGCGATAAAACTGAACGTACAGGACCAGTGCCTTCGGTCATCCCTCCGAGGGGTTCCCTTGTGCAGAGCGCAGACCGGTGAGCGGAGCGCATGCTTTAAAAGGCTTTTAACGGGCAAGCTGCGATGGTCCGTGTGGCCGTGCCCCCCGCCCGCCCGCCCCGAGACGTAAGTGAACGAGACTTAGAGCCGAGCGCTAGGGAAGCAGGGGCGTGACGCACCGGACGGAGGCTGCTCGCGGAGCATGCTCGCTCGGCAAGGCGGTAAATCAAACGCCTCGTGGGCTTTGTTTTCCTGGTTGTTTGGAAGCAGCCAGAAGCAGGCTATTAACAAAATTGTAGGATGGAGAAAAGAAATGAATACCTGTGCTTCCCTCCGCGCTGCACGCACACACAGGCACACACACCCAGGCACACAGGCACACACAGGCACACACGCACACACACGCACACACAGGCACAGGCACACACAAACACACAGGCACAGGCACACACGAACACACAGGCACACACAGGCACACGCACACGCACACACAGGCACACACACAGGCACACACACAGGCACACACGCACACACAGGCACACACACAGGCACACACGCACACACAGGCACACGCACGCACACGCACAGCCACCCGCCCCCGGGGGGGAAGAGTGGCGCCCTGGCGGACGCCCTAAGGTGGGCGCCGAGGCTGTGGTGGGTGCAGCTCTGGGCCGGGCACCCTCCGCTCGGTCTCGTGGTCTCGGTGTCACCGTCCTGGGTGGGCCGCCCGCGGGGGCCGCCGGGGGATGTAAGGCATATGCTGCTGGTCAGGAGGCGGGGGAAGCCCATGCTCATGCTCAGATGCTGTTTCAGAGGAGGACTGGGCAGCTCCATCCGGCTGGAAGGGGCGGGGGCGGGGAAGGAAACCGAGACGGAAGGAAGGACAGGACGTATGACGATGACAGTATGACTCCGGCCGAGAACAGCTAATAAATAAGGACCAGGGGGCCCGGCCTGTGCGGCTCAGGGGCCGGGAGGTCACGGTGCGATCCCCGGTCAGGGCACAGCCCGGGTGTGTCCCCAGGGGGGCGTGCAGGAGGCAGCCGGTCCATGATTCTCCTCATCACGGATCTCTCCATCTCTCGCTCTCCCCCTTCCTCTCCGACATCAACAGAAACAGAAGGTAACCCGGAGCAGGACGGGCGGGCGGGGCCGGTGGAATGTGACGGGCGCCGGGCGCCGGTTTCGGCCGCGGCCCGCCCCGCCCGCCCCCCTAGACGGACCTCCGCCGGCGCATGAGCCGGTGCACGTCCGTGAGGCTGTGCGGCCCCGGCGACACGGAGCTGGTGGGCGACGGGAAGAAGCTGTTGCGCAGCGTGCTGGGCGAGATCTCCTCGATGCGGTAGGACACGGAGTGGAAGTACTGCGGGCCCAGCTGGCCGCCCAGGCCCAGCGAGTTCTGGTGGCCGGCGGCGGGGCGGCCGCCCGCCCGGCCCGGAGGCCGGTAGCAGGAGCAGGAGCACACGGACTGCAGGTCCCCGTCCGCCTTGCCGCCCCGCGCCCGGCCCCGCGGCGCCTCCCCGGGCAGGCGCAGCGCCAGGCTGTTCCGGGCGCCGGCCAGGGAGGCCCGCTCCTCGGCGTCCCGCCGCTCGTCCTCGCTGTTCATGGTGAGGAAGCGCAGCACCACCAGGTTGAGGAAGGCGCCGATGACCGTGAGCCCCACCAGGATGTACATGAAGCTGAAGGCCACGTAGAGCGGCTTGCGCTGCAGCGCGCCCTTGGTCTGCAGCGCCACGTAGTCGCCGAAGCCGATGGTGGTGAGCGTGATGAAGCAGTAGTAGTAGGCGTGGAAGAAGCTCCAGTCCTCGCACTGCGAGAAGGCGGCCGCGCCGATGCACAGCGTGCCCATGCAGGAGAAGAAGCCCACGGTCACCATGTTCTCCATGGACACGTCCGTGTGCCGCATACCGCAGCACTTCTTGATGCGCTTCAGCAGGTACCGCACGAAGGTGTTCATGCGCTCGCCCAGGCTCTGGAACATGACCAGCGTCAGCGGGATGCCCAGCACCGCGTAGAACATGCAGAAGGCCTTGCCGGCATCCGTGCCGGGGGCCGCGTGCCCGTAACCTGCCGGGGGGGGAGAGAGCACAGGGAGAGCCGGTGACTGGAGGGCCCGTGAGGTTGGATGGCGGGGAGGGGGGGCGGGCTTGGGGGTGTTTCAATGGGGAGGGGCCGGGGAGTGTCCTTGGGAGGGGGTGGGACACCCCCATCATGGGCGGGTTCAGGGCGAGGGTTAGAGGAGAGAGACAACCAATGCAGACGGGTAGGGGGCACCTGGGTGGTTTCCTTGGGGTGAGTTTGGAGTCTGCCCAGATCCCGAAGGGAGGGGAGAGGGGTCGGAGGAATCGGTGGAGAGCTGTCAGCTGAAGCCTGGGGGGGGGGGGGGGGGGGGGTGATGGGGGGGGGTGATTTGCGGCATTTCCGTTGGGAGAGGAAGAAGAGTGTGGAAGCCCCTTCATGGTTCTTCTTAGAGCAACACGAAGTTTAAAAAAATAAAGACAGCCCATTCACTGCAAAGAACACTGCCAAGGTTCAAGGCCGACGAAAAAGACCAGCGCGCCCTCTCTGGGCCAGCGCGCCCTCTCTGGGCCAGGGCGCCCTCTCTGGGCCAGCGCGCCCTCTCTGGGCCAGCGCGGATGGTGCGCCAGGCTCAGGGCTCACACCTGCCGCCCGCCTCTGCTTTGTTTAGGGAGGTCGGCACGGACCCATAGGACCCGCCCGATCTGAAGGACAGAGAGGAGCGCAGATAAATAAACAAGCGCCGCCTCAGACCGCTGCGGGCAATCGGGGAAGGCATCGCAGAAGGGAAACAGACCAAGACCAGAAGGGAAGGACCCGCGTGTACAGATCCAAGAAGCCGCGTGAACCCCACGCAGGATAAATACGAGGAAAGCCACACGTCCGAGTGAGACTGCCGGAAACCAAGGAGAGACGATCTTGAAAGCAGCCAGAGAGAAACAAGGGGTCCCTCACAGGGGCACGGCTGGTGGAGTGCTTACTTCCCATCACAAACAGCGGAGGCCGGCAAACAGTGGAATCGCACCTTTAAGAGCTTTTTGGAAAAGGCTGTTAACCCAGAATTGTCTACGCAGAGAAAATAGCCTTTAAGAAGGAAAGCCACATATATTTTCAGAGTAAGGAACATTTGCTAATAGCCGATCTGCATGGCGTGACTTCCAAAGGAAGTTATGTCTGTGCCACTGTGGCTCAGTGGATGGAGCGTCCGCCTGCGGACTGAAGGGTCCCAGGTTCGATTCCTGTCAGGGGCACAGGCCTGGGTTGCAGGCTCAAGCCCCAGTGTGGGGTGTGCAGGAGGGAGACATCATTGGTGTTTCTATCTCCCTCCCCCTTCCTCTCTGAAATCAATAAAAATATATTTAAAAAATAAAGGGAGGAAGTTCTGCCTGGAAGGAAGCGATGCAGACGGAGACGGCGGCTCGGGAGGGGATGAAGCACCTCGGCACACACACGGGTGCGTATGTACCCCCGTGCGGGGTGGGAGCCCGCCGCCCGGCCACGGGGCCCGCCGCCCGGCCACGGGGCCCGCCGCCCCGCCACGGAGCCCGCCGCCCCGCCACGGGGCCCGCCGCCCCGCCACGGGGCCCGCCGCCCGGCCACGGGGCCCGCCGCCCGGCCACGGGGCCCGCCGCCCGGCCACAAAGCCCACCGGCCCGCCACGGAGCCCGCCACCCCGCCACGGGGCCCGCCGCCCGGCCACGGGGCCCGCCGCCCGGCCACGGGGCCCGCCGGCCCGCCACGGGGCCCGCCGCCCCGCCACGGGGCCCGCCGCCCCGCCACGGGGCCCGCCGCCCGGCCACGGGGCCCGCCGCCCCGCCACGGGGCCCGCCGCCCCGCCACGGGGCCCGCCGCCCGGCCACGGGGCCCGCCGCCCGGCCACGGGGCCCGCCGCCCGGCCACGGGGCCCGCCGCCCCGCCACGGAGCCCGCCGCCCCGCCACGGAGCCCACTGGCCCGCACACCGCCCCGCCAGGAGCCCGCCGCCCGTCCACGGGGCCCGCCGGCCCACCTGCCGCCCCGCCAGGAGCCCGCCGCCCAGCCACGGGGCCCGCCGCCCCGCCACGGAGCCCGCCGCCCCGCCAGGAGCCCGCCGCCCGGCCACAGAGCCCGCCGCCCCGCCACGGGGCCCGCCGCCCGTCCACGGGGCCCGCCTGTGCGGCTGCCACAGAAGGCAGGGCGGATGCGGGGAGTGTGCACGGTGGTAACGTCAGTTGGCGGCCCCTGTGGGTTGTGTGCCCTGGCGGAAGCCGATCTGGCCTTTTCTGGCTCAAACACCGCACCCCAGAGTCTGGGCCTCTCTGCACCCCCCTGCTGTCAGCACCGGCCAACAGGCAGCCCCCCGGGGACAGTGCGCACCTGGGTAGCCTGCAGGTCACATGGTCCCCGGGCTCCCGGTGCGGAGCATCCAGTGGGCAGCACGGGGAGGCCGGAGCCGGGAGGCGCTGAGGGTCCCGGGACCCGTGTCTGAGTTTCTGAAGAGCCGGTGCAGGCACTGCGCCCACGGAGGTGCCGGGTCCTGCAAATACCCGCCTGTCCCGCTGCTCGTCCCCTCTGCTCACGGGACCCGCCGAGAGGGCGCCACGAGCCTCCGCACATCCCACACCCACCCGGCTCCTGCCCGGCCCCAGGCAGCCGGGCCCTCCCGCAGAGCCGGGCGCTCGGAGCAGGGGAACGAGGCGGGTGGAGCGGAGTAGCACAGGGCGTGGAGGCACCAGGCACGCACACAGCTCCGTCCGCTGCCTCTGGCCGCCCGGGGCCTGAGAGGGCCAGGCCCCTCCTGAGCTGCCCGAAGCCCCTCCGCGTCAATCCCCGCCGAGAATTCCCATGGGCTGCTGCACACTCGGACAAGGCCGGCCCTGGCATCCGGCCCCAGGTCTGAGTCCCGAGTCCCACAGGGACCTTGTCTGGTCCGTCCCCCTCCCCAGGCTTCCCTGTCTTCTCCTGCCAATTCCACTGCAGCCCCGGCTCCCGGCTCCAGGTTCCCCGCTCCCGGCTCCCCGGCTCCCCACTCCGGCTCCCTGCTCCCGGCTCCCCGGCTCCCCACTCGGGCTCCCAGCTCCCCAGCTCCCGGCTCCCCACTCCCCACTCCCAGCTCTGGCTCCCCGCTCCCCGGCTCCCAGCTCCCAGCTCTGCAAGTGGGAGCAGCTGGCAGGCCGGTGCCAGGTGTGGGTGGTAGGCCTGGCTCCTCCCGCCCACAGCTGCGGGGCAGAGGAGGGGGCAGGGGGGACCAGCCTGCCTGCCCGGCCGGAGCTGGCACTGGGCCTCTGGGCTTCGGCACATTTGCTGCCGGAAGAGAATGAAATATTTATGAAGCGCAGGCGAGCACTCGGTGCTGTAGGAGTTCAATGGGCACAAATCGCATTAGGAATGACTCAGGGCAGCACGGGGGCGGGCGAGAGGACGAGAGCCGTCCGGGCCCCCGGCTTCCTGGCGGCTCCCACTCCGGCCGGGTCAGCGCTGGCCCAGCCTGCCCCACCTGCCCCCGGAGGAGGGAGGCCGAGGAGGGAGGCCACCGAGGGCTTTGGGGAGCCCGCCGCTGGCCGTTACCAGTTCCCAGCCCACAGCCACTCCACAGGTCTCGGACTCTCCCCCAGGCTCCCCGCAGCTCCGTGCTGTTGCTGGTCCTGGGGTTCGCCCCCTCTCACCCTTCCCTCCCTCCGCTCCCCCTGCCACACCGGGCCCCGTTCAGGTTTCCGGAGGAGCTACACACGATTAAGACTCAGGCGTGGCTCAGTGGCTGAGCACTGCCCTAGGAACCAGGAGGTCACAGTCTGATTCCCAGTCAGGGCACAGGCCTGGGCTGTGGGCTCAGTCCCCAGTAGGGGGCGTGCAGGAGGCAGCCGGTCCATGATGCTCTCTCATCACTGACGTTGCTCTCTCCCTCTCGCTTCCTCTCTGACAGCAATAAAAATCCACGTTTTCTTTTTAAAAAAGAGAGTCAGGTGAAGGTGTGGCTTTCCTGCATTCGCTCTGTCATCTGAAACAACTGCCCTGGCCAGCCCCCCCCCCCCACCCTCACCACAGGACCCCGGAGCTCAGCCCCGGGATCCGGCTTCCATCACCCCTGTGGGCTCTGACTGGGTGCCAGCCCCGCCCTGAGCCAATGGGCTGTGGCTTTCCTGCGGGCGCTGGAGGGCCCAGCCCCGGGGTCACTCAGCGCCTTGGGAGGTGCGGCCCCGAGGAGAGCGCCCTGAGGTGGGGACCGGCCCCGCCCGGCCTGAGCCCAGCCCTCAGCCCCCGCGTTCCGGACGGCCCCCCACCAGAGCCTCTGGCTTCCGCCAGTGTTTTGATTGCGACTGATGACGGCTCCGCAGGCCCCACGCCTCGCTGTGCCGGCGGAGAAGGAGCAGCCGCGTGTGTGGGTGACAAAGCACTCACAGCGCAGACACCCCGCACGCCCCGGGGTCCCTCCCGGGAGCCGCGGCCTGTCCGCGGAGGTGGGGCCGGCAGGTGAGGGGAGTGGGCTGCGGCCGGGCGGAGGCCGTGGGGGCCAGGGCCCTGATTTCGGAGAGAAGCCCGAAGACGGGGTTTGGAGTGTGGGATCTAATTGGTGTCTAATTACACATTCCTACATGTGGCACGGGGCACTCAAAACAAGACAAAGCAGCCATCTGTCTGTCTGCAGCAGAGGCATCCCAACATGGCAGGGGGGAGGGGGAGCAGGAGGGGCTGGGGGAGGAAGGGGGCAGCAGAGAGGGGCTCAGCGAGCCATATGCCGGGCTCCCCACCACCCAGCCCCCTTCCCCTCCTCCCACCCCCCCGTCACTGAGCCCACAACGGTTCCATTTCACAGATGCACAAATCGAGGCGACAGAGGTGACATGGCCCGTGGGCCGCCTCCCCCGGCAGCAGAGGTCCACCTGCCCCGACAGGACGGAGGAGGGCCACGCCCGGGGAGCAGGGTCTTCTGGGTAGACTGAGGCCCCTTCCCACAACCCCCGAGGGGAACGCCTCCCCATCTCGCAGGAGAGAAAACACTGAGGCTGCAGCCCTCGGCCCTGCCTGCAGCCGCCTGAGGGTGTGGATCTGAGCGTGGAGCGGGCAGGGGCA